TCTTTTTAAGTATTCCAAGAAATGTGCAGTAATAGGGAATTTACTGGAATTGGAAAGCAGGCTGTCAAAAATAGCCTGGAGACCACAAACCCAAGCTTCATTTGGGCCACTCATTATCTTGGTCTGAAGCAGCTAACCAAGGTAGCACCTCAGTGCTTCTTCCATGAGTCAAGGAGACAGGCCTGGCATCAATCAGAATAATAGACACTGTTCGTTAAGCACTTAGTATGCACCAGGAACTTCATTAGGGCCTGGAAATTTAACAACAGCAATGATAGTGCCCGCCAGGTAGTGAATGGTTACTGAGTACAACCCGCTGCAGTGGGACCTTCCGTGAATTATCTCTGAGTGGCAGTGAACCAGCCACCGAGGAGCCCTTAAAATAATAATTTCAGTTGTTTCCTGATCTGATCTTCCTGCAAGCACTTCAGTTTCTGAGACCTCCCTCTCTCAGCCCTTTTCAGAACTCAACAGCAAACCCATAACTGAGCAAACCCTAACTTCACCAAAACAGGCAAATTCCCCAAGGAAAGGAGTGGCCAATGAATAAACCCTTTAGACAGAAAGGGGTCAAGTAACTAAGTGATTGGAGACGGTGTTTTGGAAATGTTCAGTCTAGGTTTAAAAACAAGCTTTTGAAAAGATTAGTGAGTTATTTAGAACCTAAGTATTCCAAAGTTTGAGAAGCTAACATACTGAGAAATTTAATTGGGATTTCCTTGACACTCTCTCTCATGATAAGAAAGCATCCGGTACACAAATGCTATGCAGCAGGACTGCCAAATTGCAACAGAGAAGGAGAGAGAATTTGTCATTTTGAAATGCTAAGGGAATTCTTACTAACAGCTTTCTCATCTTGTAAAACTATTATTTTTCTGAACTATAATATGATTTATAAGCCTCTGCTGAGTTTCAGACTTTTGATGAGAACAAACTCAAAGTAAAATGAATTTCTCAGAATATAAAATTCTCCCAGGAATTGTCCAAATGAAGAATAAAGAGAAGCATCTTCTAGAAATAAGAGTACCAAAATCTTGGTCTCTGCTGACATATCTGTGGGTGTGAATTGATCTTCCTCAGTGTCCTAGGCTCAGCTGGACTCTTTCTCCCTACACACCTTTCCTGGGTGACATCAACCACCCCAAATGCTTCAGCTGTCACCTGGGCCCAATGAATCCCACTCCTGTAGTCATGGGATGATACCACACCTATAGAAATAAGCAAGGTTTGGTTCCTGCTGTCACGTAGGTTATAGTCTATCGTAGGAGACAGAAAACTAAACAGGCAAGTACTCTATAGGTTAATAAGTGCTGTCCTTGGAGAAGCCCAAGAGGCTCTGAGGAAGGACAGGCCATCAAGGAGTCCACCTTCAGGAAGAAACACTTCATTGCATGAGTTAGGTGACTGAAGTGCACATGCAGGTGTGCGTGGGTGTTGGGGAGCAATGAGGAGTGGCAGAGGAGTCCAGTCACAGGAGACCCCAGCCCTGATGGAGAAGATATGGAGCATGGCCCAGAATGACATCTCCAAAGGAGCAGGACAGAAACAAGGCCAGATCATAGTGGCCAGATGAGAACAAGATTTGTGTCCTTACTTGATCCCCACAGGGTTTGAAACCCAAAAGGCATAATGCAGAGGGTGAGGCAGTCTCAGCCTTCGCATAGAACACGCCAACTGACCATGAGTCAGACTCTTGGGATACCCACGATGGTCCCGACTCTCTAAGTGTGCTCCGTGAGATGTTGAAATGGACCCAAGGGAAATCAATTGGGGTAACTATCGTAATAATGTTTATCTCACAGAGCAATTTTACTTTATATGTGTCATCATCCTGAATCTTTCCAGCCACCCTGAGTAGAAGACAGACCATGGACTTTGGAGGTAGACAGCATGAACTTCAAAAGCTGAGCAAGACACTGAGCTTTCCTTGATCTCAGTCATCCTTGCCTGTAAGAAAAATGTGAAATAGCTCTAAACTCTCTCCTGAATCCCGCTGAAAACAAGACGACTTTAATAGCTTTTCCAAACCTCACCTAGACTGGTGTGAAGTTACTTATAGTTTATTTTTCCTCTTAATATGAGTAGTGTAAAAATTACCACAAAATATTGCATTGCTTGATTAGAGATGTATTAGTGATATATGTACCATCTTAACTATCTAACAGCTGAAATTTTCTGACTTCAAAAACATGTTCAGCCTAAGCATTTGGATGAGGAATTTGAGTGCTCACTTTTGCGTGCTCACTTGCTCTCTCTCTCTCTCTATATATATCTATACATATATATAAATAGATATCTATCTATATGGATAAATAGATATCTAATAGATGTATATCTATATAGATGTGCATATTTATATATACACAATAAAGCATACAAGTTAATGTATATAACATACTCCTTCAGTGCAAATTGATACATAATAAAGGCTCAGAAATGATTAGTAAAAAGAGGGAGTCGGCTGCCTTAGAATTTTTCCTAGGTTTTCATAAAAACTCAAGCGATGAGGAAGTTGAGACATTTTGTAGGAAATACATGTTTTTCAACTTTTGTCCCCCACCAAATTTTTACAATCACATTTTTCAAAATTAGGTACAATTACTTATAATGATCATACCTTTAAGTCATAGATTTTTGTCCTTATCCTACCATTCATAGTAAGAGGATTCATTAAAAATGCACAGTATTCATCAGATGTCAGCGAAGGCTGGCTAGGGAGACCCTGGGAAAGAAAATAGCCAGGTTCTCACCTGGTAGAGTGAAAGAGGTGTTCAGAGGAGGAGGGTGAACATCAGAAGTCTGGAACTCAGAGAGCTTGCTATGACATGGCAATGAGCAAAGCTGGAGAGTGTTTCAGCAAAATGATTTTTCAAAATACCTTGGGTACCATGTTTGTATGTTATCCTGTGCACCGGTGGTTTTCAACCCTTTTTACCAGGAGAATCTATGGAAACGAAATTTGATTTGCATAGGACCTCTGTATGCCACAGTCACCACCAACCCATTTTGACTCTGTGACTCACGTGCTCTTTCAAAAGAACGGATCTGACCCTTTCATTCTGCAAGGGCTGCTCTTCAAAAATAACTCATCAAACTTGGAGTAAAATCCTGTCTCCCTGTAGCTCTGGGTGCTGTGTCACCGCTCGTCCCACATTATCTGCTTGGCTTGCACTTATGTGTCCTCCAGCAACTCCATGTCCCTCCCAACCACAGGGTTTTATAAAGGACACTGTCTTCCCCTTCCTCTCCCTCCCACTTGCCTCGTTGGCCCACGCACTCTTCTAAGTCTTGGCTCAGCCATCCTTTCTCAGGGGAGTCTTTCCCATTTTGGCCCAGCCCCCTCGGCTGTGTTCTCCCGTGCTCTGTCCCTATTCCCATGGTGCACTTCATCGTGGTTGGGTTAAATCATTAGTTGTGGGTTTGATTGTTTGATGCTTCTCCCCTGCTGTGCTATAAACCTTGAGAATCGGAAGGGTGGCCCCATCTGTTTAGCTCATGACAGTGTCCCTGGGGCATCCCTCAGTGGCAGCCACTAACCAGGCCCCCAGCAATGATTGTTGGAAATATACCAATAAATACAGCAGGAAGACAAATGGGGGAGGAAGCTGCTTTGGTTGAAATATGGATGGAGCCATGGATTGAGTGTGGGGCCTGGGATTCTTCCCCCGGGCCCACTCCTTGCCTTCCATGGGGGTCCCCAGCTTAGGGAGGGACATCTTGAAAAGCACAGTTGGAAATGGTGGGTAATCTAACAAAAGGCTGTGTTCTTTGGCTTTGGGCTAGGGTTGAGTGTTATAATCTTGGCCTGAGGAAACTTTCCCACTTCATGGTCAACAGAATGGATAAATGATCAAAGTAGCATGGTGTAGACAGGAAGCATATTTTTTTCATTTATTTGAACATCTTGTCTCTCTTGGGTGGGGAAAAACTGTAAAAGACATCTGTAGGCTGCTCTGAATTTTGTTCTCTTTTTGCAAGGCTGAGTGTAGAGTAGATGTTTCTTTGGAAAGTCATCTTGGCCTTGGCCCAGACCATCAGGAAAATTGCCTCTGGTCTCCACAGATCCTGCACACACGGCCTCATTCCTGACTCCGGAATCATCTGACTCAGGACAGATCCTGTGACTCCAGCACTTATTCAGTGTGGTCAGCCGTAATGGAGTCAAGGGATGCCTTTATCTGTTAAATAGGGCGAATCGGAGTGAAAATTACCTTTTGATTGAGTAGCTTTGCTAAAGAAAATCAATAGAAATGGCCCAAGATTTATTGGCACCATCTCAATTTTAAGTATTGTAGACTTTCAAATTACTGGAACACTGGGTTTCAGGATTCAACCTCTTCAAGGCCAGCTGAAATAAACAACAGAATGAGGTAAAGGAAAAGCAGTGTGTCCGCACATTCTCAGATTAAAGAGAAAATACGTGCTGACCAAAAGTAAGTCATTTTTCACCCTGAAAATGTGCTTTCCAAATTCTAAAAGCCTGCGCTTGATGTATTTTAGAGAGAGAGCTATCACAAGCTGAAGTTGTCTTTGTTCACAATGTAGGAGACAGTTTTGTCTAGACTTTCAGGAAAGATATAGAATGACATTTTCAGAACAAATGAAAATGTATTTTTAAATTCCCTTTTTTCCCTTCAGGAAGAAAATTTGACATACTTCTGTAATTTGAATTTGGTTGATCTATGTATGGCCTCAGTAGTTTAATACGAAGAGTAGAGTAAAATGAACCATTGAGGAAAGGTATTGGAAATGCTATTTATTCACCTTCTTACCTTGAAAGTAATATTACCAACAACAACTGGGAGCTACTGTTGAGGTGGTTTCTAGGCACGTGCTAGGCTCTTAGGGTAGGTATTATGGCTTTGCCAGTTTTCTGATGTGCACAGAAAGCGGGGTCGACTTGCCCAGAGCCACACAGCACAAGTGGCTGAGCAAGGATTGTGCCTGACTGACCCCCAGATCTGCCCACCTCACCTCTGTGCTGTCTTCTTTTTCCACAGGGCCAGCATTGTACAGAAGCGCATTATTTATTTTCAAGATGAGGGCTCTCTGACCAAGAAACTTTGTGAACAAGGTAAGACTTGTGGGTGGAGAGAAACGGATAATGGAAAGGAGCTCATTAGGTTTGAGGCTCTCCTGGCAGGAATGAAGACGATCAGGCTGTCTGAGCCCCTCTGCGTCTGCTTCCTTGTGTAGCTCCGATTTTTAATCTGGCTGTGTGCTGTAGGTAATTGGATCTGTCTTTAGCTCTAATTACTCAGCCTGATTCCCTGGGTAGGAGATAATGTACCTTATATTGGTGTCTTCTTATTTTTGTGAAACAGTGATTATTCTGAAGAGGTTCCTTGGAATAATTCACAGGACTTAATTAAAGAATGCACAATTGTATACCTTTTAAAAAGCCTATGATTCTCTAGAAAAATCACCCACAGAAACGTGTGTGGCATTGGAGGACACAGGAGATTTTCTCCAGCGAAGACGGCCAGGGCATTGAGGTGCTACGGGGACATTGACCTTGGGACTGTAGCATGTTCAAGGGCTTGGCCTTAGATTTGCAAGCTTCTTGACCCCATCTCCTCGGGTTGCAGTTGTTCTAACAGCTCAAGGAGACCAAGAAGACTGAGGAGATTACAGCAGGAGCCTGGATTCAGAGCAGGCCTGGGTGTGAATCTGTCTTTGCTCCCCCTCCCCACCGTGGAACTAATATATTCAAAATAGTGTACTGCCTCCTTGCCACATAGTAAATGCTGTCTATATAAGTGCCAGCTATTGCTATCTATATCCAAAAGCTTGTTCATTAATCTACTGTAATAACAGAAAAAGACCTTAAGAATCTGAAGGTCTTTAGAAATCATTAAATAAAAATAGAAAATGTTCTATAATTAGACAGCTTAACTATCTCATTTCTATTCATTTTTGCAGACATTTTATTTGCATTTAAAGCAATTCATCCTTTGAGAAGAAATAATCCTCCAACTCTAGCAAATCATAAGCTACTAAGGTTGATAAAAGTCTTTTGGGAAAATAATAATAAAAACTAATATTTTTTGAGTTCTTGCTACATGCCAGGACTATTCTAAGTACTTCATAGGCATTAATTAAGTAATCGGCACAACAATCCTATATAGTAGGGATTATTGTATCACCCCTATTTATAAATGAGGACCCTGAGACAGAGGTTTGGTTTGGTTTTGCTTTGCTTTGCTTTTTTAACCCTTTTTTTTTTTGGTACTGGGGATTGAACTCAGAACCTTGCGCTTGTGAGGCAGGCGGTGGAACCACTGAGCTAAATCCCTGGCCCTTGCTTTGCTTTTTTGGTACTGGGGTTTGAACCTGGGGCCTTTGCACTGAGCTATCTCCCCAGCCTTTTTTATTTTTTAATTTCAGGCAGGATCTCATTAAGTCACTAAGTTGCCCAGGGTAGGCTTAAACTTGTGATTCTCCTGCCTTAGCCTCCCAGAGTGCTGGGATTACAGGCATGCACCACCACACACAACAACACCAATAGTTTAACTCTCCCAGCATCATGGACTCATGGGCAGGGTTTGACCCATGGAGCCAGTGCCCTGAACAACTGCCCTCCTACCAAAGCCACTATCTTCTATTTCAGTTTATTGCATTATTTTTTCTTTTTAACTTATTCTGTGCATTTTCCAGTGAAAGTTAAAACATACAAGCCACAGACACTTTTGATATAGTACTGACCAGTTTTAAAAACACTGAATGATCATTTGCACACATTCTTCATCTTTAATTTTACACCTTGTTATACAAGGATACTATTAACACACAATTCTAATTCCGTACAAGCCTGTTTGTCAAGCAGCAAGATGACAGTGATTCATAGCATAGCATAGAATGTTTCCTTTAAGAAGCCTCATCAGTATTTGGTAAATGGTTACGCGTAGAACTGATGTGCAGAGTAATGTTCAACATTCCTCATGAAACATGTAGCACATGTACACTAACAAATGGGAAATGCAACTTTAATATAAGATAAAATGTTACTCTTTATGCTTTAAGCTTCAAACTCTGGGAACACTTTAAAAGCAGACAATACAAGGTGCTTCAATTCTAGACTCCATAACTGAACACTGTGCTGTTAGCTACCTGAGAGTCTATAAACTTTGAGGACTGCTCATTGGCTTTTTAAATTCAACTTCAAAAATAAAAGAGCTTCGTTTGCCAGCCAGAAATCTAGGTAACTGATTACAGGCTACATAAAATATACCTTTTAAGAAAAACTGACTTTAAAAAAGATTGCATCGTTGACATATAGTAACTTCAAAATTTGTTACTCTCAAGGGGAAAATGCAGTGGCTTACTAGTTATTGCCTGGGCAGTTCTACACATTGTCTCGCTATAGATGAACTGGAACAAAGTTAAGTCCTTTGTAGGAGACTGTGGAGACCGAGCTGGATGCACTGTGGGCAGCAGCCTGTTATCCCCGCCCTTTGAAAGTCAGCTTTGTTACAAGTAGGCTTGCCTCAGTAGGAAATAGTTGTTATTTTCAAACCTAGAAATTTATTTGGTTTGTTGTAAGTGTATTTCTTTAAATCCTTGAATATATCTTTAACTTCATCACCTATATCTGAACGCCTTTTTGGATAAGGTAAAGCTACCAATTGGCTTTATTTAGGGCCTTCTAGAGATCATTGCTGCCTCATTTAACAGCACCTGATACGTTACCATTGAAACTCCAGCGTGTATCTCTTAGTTCTGAATCTTTTTTTCAAAACTAATTTAGGTTTTTTACAGTATAGTTGGTCATAATGGTAAAAGAAAAGGACAAAGTCTTCAGGAGTTGCTGGTTTATACTAGCTTTCCTGAAACAAATTCAAGTGGGCTTGGGCCTTCCCAACCCACGTGGCTCACGTAGAAATCAGATCTTGCACATGGTGGTGCTCCGACCTCTCCCAAGTGTCCAGAAAGTAGTCAAACAATAATTACTACTCTGAGCAGCTGAACCCTTCTTCTTTGGGGCCTTTTAGAAATCCTGGAGCTATGTAGGGAAGTAAGTTTTTAAATCCACCATTCTTCATTTAGAAGAGGCAAAACTGAAACAAAACCACAACGAGGAAAAAAAGTTTTTCTCTCAGTGTGATTTAGGCAGACCTATCCAGAGTTGGTCTTTCCTGGAATATTATAATGCAGAGATTAAGGGCAAGAGCTCTGGACCTAAAAAGACCTGGGCTCCAGTTCTACCCACACTGCTCCCTAATTTTGTGACCTTGAGCAAGTAACCTGCCTCAGCTCGCTGCTGTGTAAAACAGGGACAACCAAAGTACTTACTTCTGGGGATTGTTAGGATAAATGAGACAATACAGTAAAACCTTGGCTTGTGAGCATAATTCATGCAGAAACATGCTTGTAACCCAAAGCACTTGTATATCAAAATGAATTTCCCCATAAGAAATAATGGAAACTCAGGTGTTTCATTCCACAACCCCAAAATATTCATATAAAAATGATTACAATACTGTAGCATGATATAGAATAATAAAATCCAAACTATAAAGAAAAATAGACAAATTAACCTGCACTTTGAAAATCTTTGTCCCTGGTGTGAGGGAGACGAGAGAGGTTTATTGCATAGGACAGCTTTCACTATCTAATGGAATCTTTTCCTTTGCACACAACCTTAACAAGGAACCTATCCAATGACCCTTGTGAACGTGTGACATTGAGCGTCACATACTACTCATATTGCAAAACATTACTCATTTGTCAAGTTAAAACTTATTAGAAAGGTTTGTCTCGTGGAACACTCACAGAGCAAGTTACTATCCAAGATTTTACCATATATGGAATGAAATGGCCACAAACAAGAATTCAATATATTGTAGTTATCATTCCAGTGTCTCATACTTTCGTCTCCATCCTAGAACCCAGCATTCACTTCTATGCATCATTGATTTTGCATGTTCAAACCTAGTGAACTCAGTGAATTTTAAAGGAAGACTCGCAAAATATTCTTTCTGACATTCAAAATGATTTTTATACTCTTTGTTGCTGCTCTCTGTACAGTATTTAAGAATAAATGTCCAACTTGGAGAAAAAAAGATTCATGTTAATATTGCTAGAGGAACTAAAGAAAAAGCAGTTACAGCAAGTTGCATCTGTAGTCATTGTTTTCATCTCACAGGAAGCCGAACAGACAAAAAGCAACGAGCCACAGTTAGGGATGTGGTTGGGACAATCGCAAATACTGAATTTATTCATGCAATCTCTCTTTCCCCACTTATCAGCTATTCACAGCTAAAAGTGGGGGTGGTGAGGGAATCTCAAGTTTTTCCTGGCTGCTTGAACTTATGAACACATTTCCAACCCTCATCCCTCCTACTAGAGGCTCCGAGATGGTGATAAGAAGCAGTGACTACATCAGCATTTTTAAATATTTTTCTGCAGTTCTTCGTGTCTCTCTACTTGTTCTCACTGTTCTCCTTCAAAGCTACCTCCTGTGGTCTGGCATTTTAGCCCCAGATAATATTTCTTAGAGAAAAACTTGTGTATTCCTCTTAAAATATGGTATAGAAATCCTATTGTAACAGGGATGAGGAAGGAGACCAGGACCCAGAAAGGATCATTGAGTAAAGTTTACCCCTCGTTTCCGAAGATCTCCCCAATCTGAAAGTTTCTGTCCCATTGTTCCTACAGAGCTCCTCAAATTATTGGAATAAAATTCATGAATTTATAATGTTTTGTTTGCAAAATATAGTTTCCATACTTGGAGAAAGACAAAAATCTAGTATAAGCACTGGCTCTAAGTCTTATTAATCAATGAAAACTGTGTGTGCATTTTTTTTTTTTTGATACCGGAGATCAAACTCGGGACCTCGCGCTTGCAAGGCAGGCGCCAGAAACACTGAGCTAAATCCCCAGCCCTGTGCTTCATTTTTTTTCTAGGGGTTAAGGTTGTTGGTTTCACCATGTTGGTTTCAACATGGTGCTGCCTTATACAAGAATCCTATTTCCTCTTTAACATGGTGACTTTCCTGTTTCAGACTCCACATTTGATGGGGTGACTGACAAACCAATCTTAGACTGCTGCGCGTGTGGAACCGCCAAGTATAGACTCACATTTTATGGGAATTGGTCGGAGAAGACACATCCAAAGGATTACCCTCGTGAGTAGAGAAGTTATTTTATGGTTTGGGAAAAAAAGCACATTGTTAAAGTTCTGTCTGATTGTGGAATACCAAGCTGATATATGTCAACTCTTGTTTGCTATTATTAATTGATTTATGAAATTTGCATTCCAAATAAGCATATTCATGGAGAGAGGCAGACATAATTAGCTTCTTTGCATAGCATTGTTCAAAGTGTTTTCTTATCTGTGGATTTTAAAATATATTCCTGAAGTCATGCTACTTATCATCAGCCCAAGCATTTTGTAACCTCAGTCCTCCTGAAATAGTGCTATAATTATATAACAGGGCAATTTGTACAGAAAATAGCTGGCAAAGAAGTTGATCTTGACACCCTAGTCCAAGGTCAAGAGCTGCTGAGCATCCTCAGTCATAGCCACTGTCAGTAATCAATCCATACCCCCTTTCCCTACTGATTTCAGCTACCACCTTCCAATTTCTCTGTGACACTGTGCTCTAGATACACAATACCAATCCATACAAGTTGTCAGGAGACCCAAAGCTTGCTATTTGGAGATAAATCTCTAACCAAAACCTTCCCACTCCTTTTTTATCAGACACTTATCACATGCCAAACATGTGACGGGCACTGTTTTAAGCTCTAGAGACAGAAGAGTAGACAAATAAAAGTTACAGTTCAGGTTCATGTGCCACTCAGGGACTAGTGAGGAGACAGGCACTAACCAAATAATCATATGAAAAGATTTGAGAATTATAACTAGGGATGGTAGACTTAACCATGTAACAAGCATCTTTACTTGGTAGACCATTTAATGCTCCAAATAACTTGCCTCTCTGAAGCTCACCAAGGACCAGGGAAAGATCATGGTTTGCCCAAAGTCAAGTGGAATTAGTGACTGTAAGACTCACTGATGGCTTTTTAGTGGGGAATTAGTGACTGTAAGACTCACTGATGGCTTTTTTTTTCAGGCTCCTTGTCCTCCCTATAGTGTGGGTTGCCTTTGAGACCCAGGGTTGCCTGTTCTCTGCAGCTGTGGGTGGCCTGATGTCTGTGTGTGGCACTGAGCATGTTGTCTCTGTTCACTGTCTGCTTTGTTCTTGTGCGTTTCACTCTGGAGTTACCACAGCTGGGAAAGAACAGTAGGAATGGGAGAAAGATAAAAAGAGGAAATGGGGCCAGGCCTCAAAGGAAGGAGATACATGAGTAGGCTTAAAACCCAGGTCCGACCAGAACCTCCCTGGATCTGAAACAGCCCACCCAGAGGCAGATCAAGAGCCCTATTGCTTAATTTTACCCACATACAATCAAGGCATGGGATCTTAGGAGCCTCTTACTGGTTCCTTCCCCTGACTCTGGGATTCAGCCTGATCTGGCTCTGCTGGTGTGGGAGACCTGTGTGAACAAACTTGGAGTCTCTTCCTGGGGTGGGGGGAAACCACTTGGAACAAGTTTGTCGGAAAAAATTTCCTCTAGAGCTCCCATCCACTAACACAGAAGAAATAAAATGTTAGGGCCCATTACTCATCTTTTGTGATCCTAAGGAGCCTTTTGCCTTTTTCTATTCTGCTGCTGTCATTTCCCAGAATTTAGAAAGGGGAGGTTCAAAACCATTGTTTGTGGGTCTTTGGGGCAAATTAAGTACAAATCTATACAAGATTTGTGGGCATTGTTGAGAGTTTCTTAATAAATATAGCAGACATGTGTTCCAGTTTCCCCCACGATAGTTCATTGTCAGATATTATGACATTGCCTGTCAGATTGTGTCCTTATTTTCTGTTGGAAAAATTTGATAACTATGTACACAGTAGCATTTATCAAATAATACTGTAATTATTTCTTCAGGAGTTTTTCTTCACCACCAGACTAAAATGTCCTCCAGGGTAAAAGCCATGACATGTCCTTCTTTGGTTTTTAGTACTTGGTGCTTCTCAAGTACTAGGTACTGAGTGTTGGTTGAGCTTAGAGTGGCATTTGTTATGACCTGGGTGGCAGATGTCCCGCCTATACCTGGTCACGTTGGAAGTGTGGGCTGGACCTTCTTTGGAGCAAAAGGGGCAAACTTGCAGACTCATTGGACTGGAACCCTGTGGAAGGGAACAGGGAAGGTCTAATGAGGACCTTGAGATTTGATATTCTCAAAAGTGATTTTGCCAATCTTCAGTAGTACTGTAGATGACTTTCCCTTGCTGTTTCATGGAAGATTCTATCTTGATAAGCAACCCTCATTGCCAAGTCTGGAGAAGCTTCCCTACAGTAGAACAAACTGATAAATATCAAGCACCTGTCTCTTTGGTGAATTAGACATCCAAAGGCCATTTTCCTTGCAGAGATCTTAAGAAAAATGTTCTCGAGTGTTTTACCACAGGATCCTTTCTATGTGCTTAAAGAATCACTGAGAGCCGGGGATTTAGCTCAGTGGTTCTGCTGCCTGCCTCACAAGCGGAAGGACCAGAGTTCGATGCCCAGTACCAAAAAAACCAACCAAATAAATAAAAAATCACTGAGAACTTCAACATACTTTTATTTACATTGGTTATATCTATTGATGTTCACCATATCCAAAATTAAAATTGAGAAATATTTAAGTATTAGTCATTAATTTTAAAGTAACATACCACTACTACTAATTTAAAAATGTATGTTTAATTCTGAACTTACATGTTCACATAAATAACATATTTTATGAACGTGACTATATTATTTAAAAGAAATTAGTGAAAAGAATGTCATCATTTTACATTTTTGAAAACCCTTTTAATATCTGACTTACTAAAAGGCACATGGATTTTCATTCACTTTTGTTTCTGCACTCAGTCTATTGTGATACATTTTGGGTTGATGTATATGACAAAAATCCTGTTTCACATGGAAAAATGAAGAACCTTCCCGGATAATTACAGACAATTTTCTTTGCTACTACCCCACAAACTACTATAAACTCTATTACAAACTACAAACTCTACAAATGGTAGTTTTTTTTTTAAAGGTTACTTATATGGAATACTGAAACTATGTCAATGGATTTGTACACTGTTACATTAAAATGCATTATCTTCCATCTGGGATCTTTTATAAATGTATGGTTTTATGACATGATACATTGGTCATTTGGAAAATATTACTTCAAAGTGTTATGTATATCATCCAAGTGCCAACGGTTCATTGAATAATATAAAAAGTCACATCTGTTAATATGAATGCAAATCTCATCAGAAAAGTGTTTGAGTGCTGGAAAGCCATCAAGTTCATAGTGATGGATACAAATTTTTCCAAGATGTGGATTTTTGCTTGAAAGCTTAAATTTTATCATTGGCAACAAATACTGTCAGTTGTTTTCCTTCAAGTGACAGGTTCACTTCATTTTTGAGAACATGCCTGCCAAATTCCCAAGTCTGAATAGCCATAATTTGTGCGTCATTTGTTCTTTCAAGTAAAAGCAATGTTTTCTGGATGTAAAAAGTGGCTAGTTCAGCTTGCACCTCAAAGAATTGCCTAAGTGCCTTCCATCAGGACAGTCAGAGTACCTCAGTACCTGCAGGAGTGCTTCTCCATGTTTTGCAATTAGTCATAACAGAAGAATTAAACAATATGTACTCAAAGGTACAGATTCAAGAAAACGAATCCTTTTTATTGTTACATCAAGGACATTCTTATGTGAAACCGATGCTTTTGTTGTCTACTTTGAATACACGGCAGTGAAGAATGCATTGCCTGATATAGTTCAGGGCCACTGCCTTGATCCGAGCTCAGTGCCAGTATTTATGTCCACACATTGCAAAAAGCAAATAATGTCTTAGTACTATGATAACAATCATCACCTCTCAGGGCCCCCAAGAGGCTTTCAGAGTCCCCAAGAACCTGTTTATCACATTTTGAGAACATCTACGATAGGGTGAGATAGCAGCCCAAGGTGTCTGACCCTCAGTTCTGAGTAACTTGACCCTGAGAATTCACCTGGGACCTCCATGGAGGATTGAGCAGCACCCTGTGCTAAGCCATCTCGAATGGTGGACCACATCGGCAGGTGGCCCTTTTCAACCATGGTGCAGAATGGTTTATTCCAAATGCTCTCTCCAGGGTTCCCTCCTCAGGAGTTGAGAGCACACTGCAGTCCTCTCTTTAGGAGGGTAGAAGGTGGTGAGATAGGAATGAAGTCAGGAGAGTGGCCTAGATGGCCCGTGGCTTTCCTCCTCTGTTGTCTATGTAGAAAGAGTGAAGTCTTTTGAAAACATTCCCAATGGAGTAGCTCCACAAATTCATTTTAAGGCTGGATCATAATAAGTTTTACTTTCTAATTTTACAAGTGAAAAATATCCTGAAGCACAAAGACATTACAGGCTCAGATCACATAACCAGCAAGTGTCTGAACCAAATCAAAACTTAGATCCTGGTTGCCTTTTGCCTTCCTTTGGGGGCTGTCGCAAGGCAATCAATCTTCTGTCCTCTGCAGTAGAATTCTGCATCTTATACCCACAGCGTCTTTTAATAAAGTTCTGCTATCTAACATGAACTCAACTGGAACCAAATTCTGTACCTTTCTGAGGTGTATAAAGACCTACTCCACAGAGCTCCTAACTCAGGAAGAGAAGGTCTGAATTTGCTGAGCCTGGTCAGAGTTCCTGAATGCTGCAAGCTCCCCAGTGTCTGGTCTAGGCACTGCCAGTCTCTGGTGCCCAGTATCGGGCACTGTGGGAGCAGCTCTTTCCCAAGAGCAAGGTGACCAAGCACATAAGGGTGTCCTGAGGACTGGGGACCTGTCCAGTCTTTGGCACAGGATTGGGAACACCCAACAAGATGCTGAGGCCCTTTAATCTGTAGCTCTCACATAGCACCTGAGTTTTTGACAAACGCTTTCATCCCATACAGACCCTGTCACCTCTCTGGCAATGGAAGCTGCATAACTTCCCCCTTTTGTTACAGCATCAGTTTCAATAATGTTTAACAAATACATATTGACGGTAAGATATTTTTTCCAGGAGCCAAGCATTTTTTATGTGATAATACATTACCTAAAATA